AGAGAGGCCCCCCTGCCCTGAGAGGCGTTCAAGTCTTGTAGGGTGTCGTCAGAAGGGCACTGGCTTGCTCGTTGTTTTCTCTCTAGGTACCCATTTGCAGAATTTGCTGTGTTCTGGTGTACGGCAGCCCAGAAATGCATGTCTCTGCTTTCATCTGGAACAGACTGTAGTGCAGCAGCCAGTGCGTCATCTCTTGTCTACAGGCAGACTCCATTCCACATGGAGGTAAAAGAGCCTCCAGCAGCTCCTTCTTGCTGCGACGCACCCCACCTGCTCTTTCCCGCTGCGGCGCACCCCAGCAGCTCCTTCTGGACATCACGCACCACACCATCTTTGCTGTCACGACACATGCTAGCAGCTCTTTCTTGGCCGTGACGCACCTCCACATGTATTTGACGCTGCGTCCTCTGCAGCTCTTTATTTTTTTTATTTACTTTTGTTTTTATTTCATGTCATTAATAATTTTTTTTTATTTCATCCTATCAGAGTGCCCCCTCCAACTGGAATGGATTGCCCAGAAAGTTGTTTATGCCTCATCCCTCGAAGTGTTCAAGGCCAGATTGGATGGGATGTTGAGCAACCTGGTGTAATGGAGGGTGTGCCTGCCCATGCAGGGGGGTTGGAACTAGATGATCTTTGAGATCTCATCCAACCCAAACCATTATATGATTTTATGAGTTTCCTTTTGTGTGTTTCTTTGGATTCTCTTCCTCATTCCCTTTGGGTGGGGATGGGTGAGGAAATGGCTGTCTGGGCCAGGTTAAATCACGACGTGGAGGCATGGGAATCCTGGGAATATCTGCATGGCTCTGTCACCAAGGTAGCTGGTGTGAACCGGCAGGGTTTTCAGGGCCGTGCAGGAGGCGTGTGATGCCGTGCTGCAGAGACAGCAGCTGGAGGGTGCTGTTGCCACAGGAAAGGCTGCCAGGATTAAAGAAGAAGGAGTAGAGTTAATTCTGAGCTCCTGAGTGAATCAGTCTGTCCTCAGTGAAGTTTCATGTCCTGGTTATTGTGACCTATCCTGGCATGTGGGGTCTTGCAGGTCATCCTCCTTTGGTAGAGGAACAATTTTTGGAGTTTCTTTTCCTGGTATTGCTTTAGTAAAAGACATACTTTGTTTTCTTGGTGCCAGTGGCTGAGAAGTACTGCTTTTTCTTCTCTAGCATCTGGTGGCATCTGGTTTATTCACTGCATGCTTATCTCAGCCCTGCTCACAGCTCTCAGGAGGATGCCTCAGCCCCGCTCCTCATCCTTGACACATCCCACAGCTCCTGCCTGGTGAAGTCCTTACTGGTGCTGTGCCGCTGGAGCTGATAGTGGGTAGTTGGTGGCTGCGGAGGTCTTGCTGCGGTTTTTACTGCCTTCCAGTGGGTAAAAGCTTTTGCTGGAAGGGGCTGCTTCTCCTCTGCGACACGCACGGCCTTCCTCCCAGCTTGTGCTCTTCCTTCTCTGTTTAAGCATGGCGAGCAGAGCTCCAGGTAAATACAGTCCGTATTCAGTTCATAGATTTCATAGATTTTCTAGGTTGGAAAAGACCTTAGAGATCATCCAGTCCAACTGTCCCTAATCCCCATTAAACCATATCCCTAAGTAGTTCATCCACCCTATTCTTAAACACATCCAGGGATGGGGACTCAACCACCTCCCTGGGCAGCCTATTCCAGTGGCTGCCAACCCTTTCAGAGAAGCAATATTTCCTAACATCCAACCTGAATCTCCACTGACTAAGCTTATACCCATTTCCTC